CCTTCCGTGCCAGGGGCGCCGTGGGGCGCTGGCGGCGGAAAGAGTAGTTTCCAGCTCCGGCCTTCTCCGGCCTCCGGGCCCCGAGCGCAGTCGTCCAGAGGGGAGGGAAGCACGGGAGCAGACAGGAGAGAGGACACTTACTTAAAAGGCTACATAGTTTCACTCCCTGCCCTTCCCGGAGCAGCGGCGACACCACCCGGCCCCTGGGATCCGGCCTCAGGTACCACCACCCCAGCGTGCGGCCCCACGCCACTGCCCAACCTCTTACTCCACCGCTGGGCGGAGCCGCGTCCGGGTCAGCCCAATGAGCGGCCACCCTGATCCTGAGTGACGTGCGCGCAGAGCAATCATTAAGTCCGCCCGGCCGGGGGGAGGTTCAGGCGGCGCACTGCGCTTCCTCCTCAGGCCAGCGAGCCCCGAGCTGCCCACTGCGCGTGCCCAGAACGGGAGAGGGCGGGGTCACGAGCAACGCTGTCACGCGAAGGGGTCCAAGCTTGGTCTCTGGAAAGCGGGCTGGATTGAGATTGGGGACCCAGGAGCCAAACCGCTTCATGTGTCGCCCTTTACTGGTAGCTTTGGAGGACGGAGGTGCCCAGGCCTCTGAAGTACACCACTCCCGTCGCTGGCAGGGGCTGGGAGTCTAGGCCCCTCACTTGCATGGATGTAGAGTGACTCAGCCCCCCCCCCTTTTTTTTTACTTGGGCCTCAGTTTTCCCCATCCGTTAAATAGAGGGTTAGATATGCGAAGCGCTATTATTCCAGAACTGCAATGGGGTGAGGAGGAGGGAGAGACAGGGGACCTACACGTGACCTCCCCGCGCGGGGCCCCGCCTATCCCTTGTCCAGGGGATGGAAGCATCCCGCGAGGACGGGCGGGGTGGGTGGATCCTAAGAAACACGACCCAGCCATCCTTGGCAGCGGCTAAGGCGGAGCGCGCAGCCCGCGGGTTAGTCCTAGAGACGGTACCAGAGGAGGATGGGGACCGCAACCCGGGCTTCGCAGGGGGCCACCGTGGAGGCCAGGGCAGTACAGAGACTCAGCGTGTGACTTGAGCGTACCTGGGAGGATGGACGAAGGGACCGGAGGCAGCTAACGCGCCCGGCGCACGTCGCGAGTCCCTAGCTGGCTCGGTCCACAGCACTGCAGCGCGGAGCTGGTGGGGCGATGAGGAGGGTGCCAGCGGTCCGACCCGGGGCCGCAGTGGGGATTGGCCGTGTTTGGCCATGCTGAGGGCCTGAGGCCGAGAGGAGCGCAGCGGTCAGGCTGTGCCGGAGCGCACCGCCATGGCGAGGGAGGAGTGCAAGGCGCTGCTGGACGCGCTCAACAAGGCGACCGCATGCTACCACCACCTGGTGCTTACTATCGGAGGCTCGGCGGACTCGCAGAACCTTCGTGAGGAGCTGCAGAAGACGCGCCAGAAGGCGCAGGAGCTGGCGGTGGCTACTGGTGCTCCGCTGACGACCGCGCTGCGAGACAAGGGCATGGGCGCCGAGGAACGCGCCG